GTACAAAGGAGATTCTGGGTTTTTTTTTTTTTTCCATTTCTGGCGGTACATGAGAAATGTACTCCATGAATAACTTCACTGGACAACGAGGTCCACCAGTTGAAAACATCTCAGGATTGAACGGACGATCTGGGACGAACTCATTTTCGCCTGTTCTAGTTTTGCTTCCGAGTTTCATTATCCATTCCACGTACTCTCTTTCTCCATCTATTTTGACTTCAAAGTCGCCGTATCTTACACGATGGTGCTCATCTTGTGCTCTCCATCCCAAGTAAACAGTGTTGTAAAAGCAAACTGTACGCAAAAGGACTTGAGGATAATTGTTGCCAAGCTGTTGTTTTTGCCATAATATCTTAATATGATCTGTACTCAACCCCTGTGCCTTAGTTTTTAGCCTTTCCCAAGCCTACTGAGCTCCTTTCTTTTGCAAACCAAGGCTTCCCGGGAACGGTTGAATTATCTATCCAGAAAAAAAGGAGTATTGTACAAACATACAAACTCCAAGTTAGGTAGGGTTGCATCAAAGACCTTATCTATAAACAAATGAGAACTTGAATCTTTTGGATCACTCTTCAATAAATCGTCAGTTGACATACAGAGAAAGAGAAAACCTAAATAAACCGCCTGTTGCAGTGATTTCGATACCTGGATAATGGAACTAACTTGCTTATCGATCATGTTAATTCCCATACTAACATAACAGTACGTGATAAACACGTGCACTACGAACAAAACATTCAAAAACACAGTCATTAAGAAAACACGTTTTTTTTGTTTTTTTTTTGTTTTGCATAGCTTTTGTTTTCTGGATGCAATGGTTCTCTGAAAAACTTCTTCTTTTTCTCTTTTACATATTTTATGACACAAATTATTTCCTGACGATGTCAATACAAGGATTAGGAAAATCACAAGCTATATATCTATGCACTTTCTGTTACAGGTGAGTGAAAAATATCGTACAAAATGTGTTTGTATTCTTTCAAACTTACGCTTAAAAAAAAATTAGATTTATTGAAGCTTACAAATTGTTTGAATGACAAAGAAATAGTAGGATCCGTTAATCTTCTATAAATCAGAGTGATAAATTTTAGCCCAGAACATTTTCTAAACGATCATAATGACCTCTTTTTTTCAAATAAGCCTGCTTTGGCTTCAAAAACTCAAAAATGTCAAACTTGCTTTAGCTAACACTTCGCGAGCATATTTCCAAAGCATTAAGATGTAAATAATGTATATATGAGCATAAAGAGAAAACTGCCTTTGGCAAAAAAGAGTCATTATACTTTTTGACGTTTACTTAAACAAATTGAAAAACAACATATCTCTGTAAAATCACAAAGAATAAAACTTGTTAAACATAATTTCTTTATGCCTTTGTCACTTTGTCTATTATTCTGATTGTTCGTCGTTTGTGTGTTTGTTTTGTCAAAATACGTGGAGGAGGTCGGTAGATAAAGATAATAATAAAAATCATACGGAAAAATATATAAGAAATACTGAGAATAAAATAACTAAAAAATATATTTGTAAAGAAAGAAAAATCTTGTAAATAGCTATGTGGAGGTGRAAWGYATTAATGTATGACTTACTCTGCTATTGATAATAAAGTTATTATAAAATAATAACAATAATAATAATAATAATAATAATAATAATAATAATAAAGAGAAAACATCTTGAACTTTATCTAATTTTATTATATTGAAGGTGGAATTTGGATGAAAACAAATTTTTCAAAAACACCGAGAATTTCCCAGAAACAGATGCTAGGGAGACGACTGTTAGGCGGTGAGAATACACCACTTTGCTTATACACGAGCCGCTGGATGATGGGATTTGCCGACTAGTTACCAGTCTACTCAGGGTGCAAACAGAACACAAGAGAAGAAGAAAACTACAGTGTTATTGTTAATAAAAGGTCAATTTCTTCACAATTTCTTGAGTATTTCTTTTATATCCTATACACCGACTGCTGATTATGTTCATAAGTATATATCAACCACAAAATTCTACCCATCGATTATTAAATCTTAGTTTATGGTCTTCGAATGACGCCTGACCAGGAGAACTAACGATGCCTAGCTTTCTCATTTTAAGCTAATGGGCAAAAATAAGATACTAGAGAAATGTTTAGAAATTGATTTTAGTTTTAAGCTTTCCACATTTTGTAACATAATAACCTCTGAAATTAATCAAAGAAAGGCCCGAAATTACGATAACTCGGATCGATCCGACTACATTACCAAAGTGGTGTATCTGAAGCAAATCAGGATCACCAGCACTCCCCTTCACTTTTATTAAAATTAAAGATAGTAGAATAGCGATACAAAACTAATTGCGATAATTGAGACCCGTTTCAAACTCGCAATAAATTTATAGAATGGAGGAATTTTAAGAGAATGAAAGGAAAGAAAACATTTACACAAAATATTTTCGAACTTAAAAACTCATTTTCCTGCTTGTGCTTTCGCTTATGGAATCGAGATTTATCGAAAAAAACTGAGCTTTCAAAAAGAAAATTAGAGACAAAAGTACTTATCTTTGCTTGTTTAACCAAATTCAAGCTATGGTTTTAAAATATGCGATCTTTTTTCTACTTGCTAGTTGCAAACATTACTTTTATTCATTATTTTATATAAAGTGCGTGTATATAAACTATATATATTAAGTCTCAAAGAGTACAAACACTATAAGTGTGCAACATAAATACCACTAAACACTGCTAAATTATAAAATAAGCTAGATATTTGTCTTTTGCTTTCTTTTCTTTTGTTGAACGCAAACCCGCCTAGATTAGCTCTGCTATTTATAAGGGAGTGTAATCCAGCTGTCCGGAGAGCGCGCGAACTGACCAATCACGGTGCGTTCTGAATTTTAGTCGAGCGACCCTCGTTCTAAGTCCTCTTTCAAGAAAAATACACGCGGTTCGCCGAAGCTCGGAAGGGGTTTCTGACGGATTTCACGAAATTATGATAGAAAATAGAGTTTACAACACATTTGAATATTTCTTATATTATCTACATAGAATTTCACTGATTAGTTATTTATCTGCAAAGGTGAATAAAAAGACGATTGAATGGCTTGAGAGTAGCGTTTGATGATTCTGGCTTGAATTCGAGGAGGTTCACAGGAGTTTTGGGTTTTTATTATTCTTTGCCTTGTCTTTGGTTCATAAGTAATGGAAACTTCTAGAAAAACCCGCTAAAAAAGTTGATGGCTGCCTCTAGGTCGTTCTTCCCATCGAGTAGAGTTGAAACAGCGATCTGTGCTGCTCGAACGAGTGTTATTTTGCTATTTTCTCGCTGAATGACTCAGTCAAAGCACAAGAACCTTTTTAAGTACTTAATCTTGCTATTTGGAATATTTCTCGACACATAGCAAGTAAAGAGTGAGAACCAAGACAATTCACGATCGTTAGAGTCATAATTATATTCGCATTTAATCATGTTTCTTTCACTTACAATCAACAGAAGTACTTGTGTATAAGTAAATTAAGTCAGATGAGGTTTTGGAGACACAAAGGCGTGAAAAATTTGCCACTATTCACTAATATAGACAAATTTCCAAGATGGCGGAATCAAAATTCATGTGATGAACCGCGCGGTCTAAAAGTAATAGACTGGTGAGAGGGCCGCTCCATTTCTACCAACAATCCTTTTCGCGCCTAGTCTATCGGACAGCTGGATTATGATTATGTAACTGAATTTAATTTTGTAAATAAATATTGTAAACTATTGTATTTTAGTATAAATACACAGATATAGCATGGGTGGCGTTCGCGGCTAAAGCGTCGTCTTTCACCGCAGTGAGTCCAACGGGTCGGTTCACTGATTCGAGCCGCTGCGGTCGCCACATGTGAATTGACTTTGTTTGATGTGTTTTCTCTCCTATGCTACGAGGGTTTTCTCCGGGTTCTTCCGTTTCCTCCCTCCGTAGAAATCAACATGTGGGCTGAGCGTTGTGTGCATAGAATAGGAACCTTAAGCTGCAGGACGGCAACGTGGGCGACAACGTCGGCGAAATTGAAGCGCTTCAACCTTCTATTGTATTATTATTTCGTGTTTACCTAATATTTTACTCAATAAGTATCCCCGTTTTAGAGTGAAATGACGTCTTTTGGGAGCCCTTTACTTATAACGAAAATCAGCAACGAATAAGCTTTTGGCGTAGCCGTTCTCTTTAGTACGTAAAAATAGGACATTTCACGTCTTACTTTCAGCATAAGACGGCAATGATGCACAGTATTTTGTTCATTCCAACGAGTGTCTATTGAATAGCGCAATTAGTGCTATTGTATGTTTGCCGTCGTCGTTGTCGTTGCCGCCCTGCAGCTTAAGGTCCCTAATATTGAATGTAGTGCTAGTGCGAGGGAACCTCACAGAAGAGCCCCATATGGAGAGTGGTGTTTATAAAATATTAATATTATTATTATTATTATTATTATTATTATTATTATTATTGTTGTTGTTGTTGTTATTATTATTATTATTATCATTATTATTATCTCGCGCGCTGATTGGTCGAGAAACTCAGATTATCAGACGATAATCACCTCCTGCGATAATCCAAAATGGCTGGCAGCCGTTTTGTTGCTGTTACCGGAAAAAATATGTCTTTTATCTTCTTTTTTTTTTTCTTTATTTGTTGTTAGAGAATCACCTGTGTATTTATACTAAAACAAATTATTCATCTCAAGCTCAGTGAATATCGGGAATAATAACCTCAACTTCGTTTCGGTTATTATTTCCGATATTCACTTCGCCTTCGGCGAATAAGTGTCAAATAAAACCTTTTTACCGGGTAAAAACAGCAGATTTTAGACTATAAAACATAAGAAATAATAATATTTATAGGGATCACAAATTAAAAGAAAATAAAATAAAAAGAGAAGGATACTAAATAAAGATATATAAGGAGCAGGGGAGAGTATGGGGAAAATCAATGAATGAAAGTCCAATGAAAAACAAGGGTTAGTAGGAACTAAAATTAGGCTTATTTACAGTCTTCTTAGACTCGTCATTCGTACAAACGTTTCATCCCCAATAGATTCCAGCTGACTGTCGGTTATAGAACTAAAAAAAATATAAAAAAAGTAATTGTTACAGCAAAATTCACTTCACGCGTGAACAGTACTTCTAATGTTTTTTTGATTGTACTTTTGGCGGCTTCGTGTGAAATGAGGAAAATGTATTTCATCAGATTAATTGTTCTGAACATCGTTTTATACTGTTTCGGTGGTGTTTGGCTGTCCAAATTAGTGTTCTCTTAAAGTCTAATTACATTTCTCTATTTTGTTGAGTGTATTAATATAATGTGATTGGTCGAAAACCAATTGGTGAACGGAGCACAGTGCTGATCAATCCGCGCGCGCGAAGTTCTTCTGGATCCGTCTTACTTTTTGTGTAAATAAATTCAACACCGAAATAAAATTAGTAGCCATATCATAAAACGAATAAAACAGCTTTCTCCGTGCTCTGTTCAGTAATAAAGCACTTATAGAAAGCGCCGTAAGCACTCTCGAAGTGTTTCTTACTTCTCCTTACACTTATTTACAATGTCCGAACTTTTTGGTGACCGTAACACAATCCAAGCTAGCGCCGAAAAGGTGAATTGTTTGAAAGAGGATCCCCCGCGGCCCGGCAAAATTAGCAATTTTCGGATCATGGCTCTCTTTATCATACCTCTAAAAACATCTTAAAACCGTCAGGTCATGCTCTGCATAAATAGCTCTTATTAACTTCGTTTACTCGGTCCGTACCGTAAGTTATTGACCAAATTTTTTCCACTGACTTATGGCCCAAGAGCATAGCGTGCGGGCCATAAAAAGTGGAAAAAACGAGGATCCATAAATTACGCTACGGACCGAGCAAACGAGGTTAATAAAATCTTTATTTTATGGCAAGACATTGAGAGTAAAAAGAGGCGGAGCAACAAAAAGGAAAATTGACAGACGCATGTCAAACGAGAACTGCATTCAGTGGAAGGGCGTCCTGTACGTGCCACAAGTCATGTTGGCTGAGTCGCTCAGAAAGAGAGGTTTTAGTTTATTTTTGAATAAATTTAGCTATAGTTTAAAGTTTTCTGAAATACTAGCTAACGAAAGTGAGGTTTTCGTTTGCAAAACATGTGAAAGCAGAAAAGGCATCAAAAAAATACCTCAAGAACTCAACATGAGCTTGAGAAGTAAACTGTCGTACTTCAAACTCCTTAGACTTCAAGATATTCATACATACATACAAAGTTTATTTTAACACGGTAAAATCATCAGTACAAATATACATAACAATGAATAAATAACTGTTTTCCATGATTGCCGTATGAGCCTGCATAATTAGAAATATTCATTAGGTTTACACCTAAGCAAAGTAAAGGAATCAGCACTTCTTATATCAGTCGGAAGGCTGTTCCATAAAGCTGCTCCACAGTAACTGAAACTACGTTTCAAGTAGTTTGTGCGCGGTTTCGGTAGTGACAGCTTCTTTTCCATGTTTTTAAGTTCATATACTGGGTCGCAGAAAACAAACATATTTTGTAGATAAGAGGGAAAGGTACCGTGTAATGATTTAAACATCGATATTGCTTACTGTTATTTCCTTTGTGTACCTATATCATCCCAATTAACTAATGTAAACAGAGAGCTTGCGATTGCTTCAAAACTTGACTTGGTGATGACTCTGGCTGCACGGTTTTGGAGTTTTTGTAATTTATAGTAGCAATGCCGTACCAAACTCCACTGCAGTCGGTTATCAAAATGCGGCTCTATCAGGGACCTGAATATATGTACTGCAGTGTCTTGTGAGATGAACGGCCTTAGTCGTTTTAGCGTCCACATACCAGATGAAATTTTCTTTGATGTTTCATCGACATGTTTTTCCAAGATAGTTTATCATCTACTAACTCCCCCAAGAAATTTGTTTCACTAACTCTTGCTATTTCCTTTCCCTCTATGCTTATTATGATGACTTGATAATCAGTTGTGGCTCTTAACCGCTGCCTTGACCCAAAATAATCATACATTCAGTTTTAGTTATACTAAAGCTGAGCTTATTTATCCTCAGCCATTGGTTTAAATTTGCCAATATTTAACTTATGCTTAAGTTATGCTTTCTGATGATACAGGTATATTTGTGTCATCAGCATACATTTTAGAATTTGCCCTACACAAGCAATTAGGCAATTCATTGATATAAATCAAAAAAAGGAGTGGGCCAATTATTGATCCTTTCGGAACACCGTGTGTAATTGGACTCTCACTAGAGAGTTCACCGTTAACATGGCATCTCCGTATCCTATTTCTTAGGTAAGACTATATGAGGGCAGCATGGTCAACTCCATAGAAACTTAGTTTACGCAGAAGGATTTCATGATCTATAGTGTCAAAAGCCTTATCGATGAATATTACACCGTTTAAAAGGCCATTATCGATGTTTACAGACCAATTATTTGTAGCTTCGAGCAACGCCTTAGAATATTACTATCAAGATACTCATAAAACTGATTATAAACTACTCATTCACACAAACAAATATGAAAAATGCTACAGCCTTCCGTTTGTTTTCCAGTCTTTTCTCGTGGAAAAAAATCAAAATCTCTCCAGAAATGAATGAGAAGCTTTGGAAAATTACGACTTGCTGAGCTCGTTTGGACTTTTTTTGTATTTCTTAGTTCTGTTCAGGCGCATTGGCCTACGCTGCCATAGTCCGTCTTATAGAATACAACGATTTGGAAATCGAACTGCTAATTAATTACGTTGAACTGTTAAATTACACTTAGCAAACATTTCTATTTGCCCTTTTTTTATGTNCCAAACTAAATGGACTATTCTTAAAATTCTTTAATGCGAGACTAACAAAAAACAAAACAAAACAAAGCAAATGAAATGCCACAAGTTCCGTCGAAACAATGTTTGATTTCTTATAAATGTATGTCCATGTTAGTCTAGCATCCACAATACTTTTGAGACGGGTCCATTGCAGTTTAAATCCGTTTATACATACAGTCTTCCCAGTTGCTTGTCAATCCCTTCGAAGTTTTTGTTGTTCAACACTTTCAATGAACTCCATCTTATTTCTCTACGATATAGAAAGCGAAATGCGCATGCATTTTAATTGTGTACAACTCAAGAGTTTTTTTTTTTTTTTTTTTTATTTTATTATTTATTCCGATGCCCAAATTTCGACTTGTTTTCCCCTTTTAACCCCCTTGTGTATTTGTTGGTCAATTGACCTTAAGGCACTAAAACGCGTTTTTGGAAAATATGGTTTACACGTCACAGCTTTTATCTGTCAAGCTCAAAAGCACTTAAATTTATAGTTATTTAAAGCAGATATTAACAAGTGTTTTTTCCTATTTGCCTATCGTCGATGTAAAGGGGAAAAAAAAGATATTTTAGCCAAAAAAAAGCGCCTTTTGACAAGCTCGTGGATACTACTTGCACTTTTCAAAGATTGGGCTCCCTGTGCCCTTATGCTTGTTGACATTCGGAAACATTTTTCAGTCTAGCTGGTAAGATAAGTAATAATCGATCATATTTTCCTTTCTGTATCCTTTCTGTATACTTTTTTTATCTTGTTGAGGTTTGAAGCGAATATTCTGTGATTAAGAATTAATTACTGTGTTTATGATCAGGACGATCGTATAAAACTTTGCCTCATTGATTCAACGGCTCACAAAACTCTAAATCGGCTGGAATTTAGTACAGAACACGATCAAATATAGACCAAGATAACTTGAAAATGTCGTAGCATTTATTTCAGTATTTTCAAAATTATCTATACTACAAACTATATATATACATATATATGTATGTGTATATATACACCGAATCGCTAAAACTTTGACACTTTAAAGATATATATACATATATGTGTAACCCCCTTTTTTCTATTGTCAGAACCTGGATTTTCAAGGAAAGACAATAGGAAAAAGGGGATACATATATATGTATATATATCGCTAAACTGTCAAAGTTTTAGGGATTCGGTGTATATATATATGTATGTGTATAT